TTTAGCAGTGTATTCCATGTCTGGAATCCACGGGAATCCACCAGCGCTGCTCAATCCTGGGCCTCTGTTCCCTGGGACTAGCGGGAAAAAGCAGCTCAAGGGCAGCTGAGAGGACACAGAGCTACATGGAGCTGCTGGCGGCCACCACGCCGCCACACAGGAAAGCCAGTGAAGACGAAAACAGAGCTACGGGAAGGGAAACAGTCTGAGGACACCAGTTAAGCCACTGATGAAGCTGTGCCTCAGGCAGATTACCGCTAGCCTTTTGGGTTACAGGAGCCGATACACTCCTTTTATTTGGTTAAGCCTGCTTGCGGTTGGTTCTTTTTTACGATGACCAAAAGTTTCCGAATTAATATATGCTATCTTTCATGTATTCAAAGTTGCCTTTTTATTTGGTGTTCACACCCACACACAAATAGTTTATACTGACCAGCTGTAGTTGACTACGGAATTGTTTCTCCAGAAAGATGAGTGATAGATACTTACAATTTTGATCCCAGTTTTTAGAAATTATGAGATTTTCACTGGTCTTTAATTTTAACCGATGCTATTTAATTAAACACACAGTCCCTGACTCGGGAAGGACTCATCACGCCATGAAGTAAATGCTACCATCTCCATTCTTCAGAGGAGAAAACCTAAGCTCAGAGTGAACCACAACAGTTACGGTCACACGGCTAGTGAGCCACAGCAGCAGGACCCGAACTAAGCACGTCAGGCTCCAAAGCCCAGGTGTCTGTGTGTGTCTCACTCGGGTACCAGACGCACCAAGCACCACTGAGTTCAACACCATGCGCTAGGTGGGGACTCGGAGGGGACATCTGAAGGTAACTAAAAAACAGACTCTGCCCAGCAGGAGCTTATGCTCTAATTTAGAGAGACAAGCTTACGTAAAAACTATTACATACTGCAACCAAATGACAGTAAATACCTACAGCAGGTAAGAATAAAATGCTATGGGCACAGAGAACAGAATCAGGGCAGGCTTAAAACATGCAGCTACTCAGTTGGGCCTTAAAGAAAGAGTTTCAATTGTTAAAAAAAAAAAAATATGTAAGGAAACAGAATGGTAAAGAGCAAAAGTATGCTATTATAAAAATACACAATATGCTAGGGGCATGTCGAATTGTCTGCTATGATTAAAGTGTGAGGTTTGCTGTGGTTCTTGAAAACAGGACTCATGACTACAGGTTTAGACACAGATGAGATCCCCTGGAAGTACAGTGGAACTCATCCTACAACCAGTTAGGTTTCTGGAGAGTTCTTGGTTCCAAAAGGCTGCATTCTGAGGTAAAATTATGAGTTCACAGCTGTTTCCAGAATTTAGCATGCTAAAGTCTCAGCTAGGAAGTAGGAAGTAGAAGACCTCAATAATCTGCTTAGGTGAAGAATCCTTAAGAGAGGAGGAGAGAGGATAAGAAGCCCCCTCCCCTCCAAACAAAACAAAATTTAAAAAAAAACAAAAGATCAAATGACTGAAAACCACCTACAGAGGTAAGAGAATGAGCACGCAGAGGCCTGGAAGAGGCGGGCGGTACAAGCTCGGACAGCACAGCGGAGAAATGAGCCTCAGCCAAGTAGGAAGTCGGTTCACACTCAGAGACAGGGACGAAGGAGGAGGACATTTTCCCCTCCACTGCAGTCAGAAATGGAAACTACGGGAGATGAGTGGGAAGAGGGTGGGGGTGCGACTGGGAGCGACGAGCTGCCACCGCCCTGGCCACCTCCAACACGATGGCCTCGAAGCCCCGCACGATCCAAGCTCCCAAGTGCTGAGCCTATTTTTGCATAAGGAAATCCAATCGCAGTTCTCACTCACCAGATTCGAATGTTCGAATCACTGAGGACTGCCATGTTCACAATGTCTTCCTACCGATGGCTAGAGGAATGGATTACTCCACTGAATCACCTCTTTGATGCCAATAAAGTTGAAAACTTTTCTTTCATGTAACTTCTGCATACTTCTACTAAAGAACTTTCCTACCGATTTTACATGGACATTTTGTTATTGTTATTGCTCTTCTGAAAGGGTCTTTTCAAAGTATTTCTTTTCTCACTGGTTATTGTTGGGGATGGGAAATGTATTGATCTTTCATATTCATCTCTATTCAGTCATTTTTCAAACTCATTAATTCGACTTGTTTTTCAACAGATTCTCTTGAACCGTACAGGTTTTCGATCCTATGATTTGCAAATGATTCTTGCTTTAAAATGAATGAAAATTAGAAGTTCCGTTTATAGGAAAACCCTGAGAGGCAGTAACGAGTGTGACTTGCCTGCAGTGACTTTCCAGCTGCGTGTCGAGGAAGGTGTTCTGGAAGTAAAAGGTCGCGCTCTCTCCTGCCGGCGGCTTCTCGGGGACTTCGGGCAGGCAGAACACCACCCACGAGTGCACTTCAGCGAAGCTGAACTGGCCAGTCAAGGTCAGCGTATTCACGGGCCTGCCATTTCACAGGAGAGGTGCACGTTCATGTGTGGGGACACGCATGTACACAACACATTAACAAACAGTTTGGTCACAGTAGCTGAACAAATATAAAAGCATTCATTTAATTTTTCTCAGGTTAATCTTACGTATCAGATAAATAAACATTTAGATTTTATGAAAAAATGAGTGCTTAGCCACACCTCTGCTTTTAATATTCAGGTAAGTGTCAAAATTTGTTTTCATTATAACATGATTTACAGGTAAAATTCGGTTTACTCAGATTTCATTTTTAAAAAGTCCATCTAATATTTCTACTATACAAACTACAAACCGTACTTTACAAGACTCTCTCTAGGGAAATAATCAGCACAATGTGAAGGCAAAGACGCGGTCTTTTAAATAAAATAAACAGACGTGAAGCCCTGCGCCGGGCTCGCTGCGCTGTGGGCAGGTCAGGGGAGGATGCCTTCCACCTTGCAGGGGTGGGCGCAACACTGTCCATCTCGCCAAGATCACACACACGTACACGCAAAAGGTAAAGTAAATCAAACAGATTTTAAATAAATCAAATGAATAATTATAAACAGTTAGGAAAACATATTGTTTGTGGAATGAAAGGTTCAGAAGGAATTTTAAGAAGACAGAGCATGAAGAACCCTAAGAACTCTAAGGGACTTCGCATCATCCAGACCAACTCTCTTATTTGCAGACGAGAAAGCGAGAGCCCAGACAAACAGAAACAGATGCGAGACTGTAACCTGGGGCTCCTGGTTCCCAGTTTGCTGCTGTTCTTCCCAGCGGGCTGTGGAACCGCCACCAACAACCTTGGCTTTGAAGCAGGAAGACACCCCCAAAAGAATCTACCCTCTTTAATGTTTTCAAAAAATCTTTCCTTACATCTTATTTAAAGGACATCTTTAAAATTACAAGCTGCAATAGAAGAAGCATGGGCTTTGGCCTCAACTCCTGGCTGTTTCTCACATCAGCAAGTTACCTGCTTTTCCTAGCCTCCATGTCTTTCTTCTACAATAGCAAAGACAACAATAATGTTTTTATTGATGTTGTGTATCTTCAGGTAATCAACAGAAATGAAACAAATGCATTCCTTTCATCGATTGTATTTCCCAAGGCAAATTTGTTCTTATATCTCGACAGCTATAAATTATCAGTTTGTTTGTTTATTTTTTATTTATTTATTTTTTATGGTGACATTGGTTAACAAAATCCGGTAAGTTTCAGGTGTACAATTTAGCAGTAAGGCATATATATATATACTGCATTGTGCATTCACCACCTCCATTTCTCATGTGTAAAATGGAAACATTACCACTGTCTTGTTACGAGGACTTAAATGATAATGCCTAAAGAATCTTGCGCAATGCACGGCACGGGGAAATACTGAACAATTTCTTTCTTTCCTTCCTCCTTTATTTAAGCTCATGGTTTCTCATCCCCGAGGAAGAAAGTGAAAAACATCAAAAAGGAAGATGCTTAGGTTAGAATGGAAGTCAGAAATAACACGATCTGCTGCTCTGTGAGTATTTCCCGAGGTGAAACAGAAAGAACAAGAATGTTTGAGGCTGATACGTCAAGATCCTGTTCACAGAAAACTCAAGTGCTAAATGCTATTTGCTCACGACAGGTGTTTGAGAGAGAGAACTGTGACTCTCCTGGTCTCAGAATGCCAGTACGTGAGAAAGTTAGCAAAGTCCAGCTCAAACCAGCTTCTAAAAGAAGACAAAGAATCTTATAAATCTATTAGAAATACTAATCCATAGCATTTAAATATTTAATTTGAAAATATACAAACAGCTACCAGAATTCACACTATAAAACGACAGCGTGTTTATCTGCATAGTGTGATATCCTAAAAATAAACTGCTCCTCCCCTGTCCTACCTGTCATGATCAATGCAGTGAGTTCTTTGATGGAGCGAGAGGGGCTTGATAAGGTACTGGCGGACCTGGCAGGTTTTGGGTTGAATTCTTGGAGTCACATATGCTTGAAGCGTGCCATACTGGCCTTCAATTGAGCGAATCTGATTCAATGCAAAAGAGGAAAGAAAAAAAAAAAACATCTAGCAATATAAACGTTATCTTGAAAATGTTCAACACAAGTAGTCAGGTATTTAGGCCTTAATCTATTCTATAATATCTTGAAGAAAATAATGACATTCTATTAAACAACTACTTTTTTACCATTAGAGTAAAGGAAAATTTTTAAAGATTTTAGCAGCTGAAAGCAAAATTAAACCATCTACATGTTATCCCCACCACATATTTTTAGGTGATCTGTCTATACTTAGCAATGCTATACCATTCCAAAAGACAGTCATTCTTACATACTAACCTATCACCTTTAAACACAGGTGAATATTTTACAAGATTCACATTGAAAACGGTTGAAATTTAAACATTTTCATTGAAGGGATAAGTGGGTTTTCCAAAGAGCTAAAACTTATATGGAATACTTCACTTTCTCCGAAATGGGAGCATTATAGCATAAAGCTGTTGTTATAAAAATCTATTGACAGAAAAAAATGTTCCCAAGAACGTAACTCGACTTTCTATGAAAATAGAGAAGTATAATCATAATCTATTACAACATATTTAGATTAGGAGATTCTTTTGAGCTATTTTGCATATGGCTGGTTGGATATCCTGTGAATTCAAAAACAGCTCACAGAAAATAATAATTCATTAAACTATGACGCCCTAATTTTAGAGGCGTTAGAAAGACGTCCAGCTTCTCCCTCCCGCCCCCTTTCAGTTCTTCTCAGCTCTAATTCATGGGACGAACTGCAGTCCCTCTTGTATTACAAAGACAGCTTCTCTAACTTACGCTTTTCCTGGCATGTGAGGAAAAAAAAATTTAAAAAAATCAATGTTTTACCTAAATGGGAAAGATCAATACAAGTTTAAAGCAAGATTTGGTGCAAATGTTACACTGCAAATATTGCTCTGAATGGGAAGACAGAAAAGATAAAAGGAAAAGAAATAATGAATAACAATATTTTATTTTTATAAAGCTATATTTTAGGGTTTCTTTTTAAAGGGTATGCTTACGCATAATTTTAAAGGGTTAAGTTGCACATAATTTTTTCCACAATAAAAGTCATAACGTTTTCTCTGGTTACATAATTCATATTCATTATTAAAACATCCAAACGATAATGAAAACTTAGGATGAAGATATGTCACCTAAAATCCCACCACCCAGAGATGATCATTTTTGCTATTTTGGTAGTCAATCTCTCATATACCGTTCTACGCAGGTGTACAGAAACAAATAGATAATTTCACGTAAATAAATTCTATTTCTATCACAGACACCTGTTTTTATTTGTAATAGTCATTTTCCCCTCACTCTGCCTGTCCTGGCACCGGTGCTTCCTCCCGCTCCCTCCCATCCACAGCCCACCCGATGGTATAACCTACCACACCGATGGGCTTATGTTCTTTCCACACCTTCTTTCATAGTTCCATCATTATAAATAATATATATATATGGATGGATTTTATCTGCATTTAGTGTTTTTCATGGGATTTGCTCCATGTTGACAGGAATAGACCGGCTCATCTTTACCACAGCTGTGTTAATATTCTGTGGGATGGACGGCTAATTTATTCAACCATTCGATTACTGAATGTTCACTTTGGTCCCACTTTCCTGCCTCTACAAACAGTGCTGTGGTTAATGCACATCCGTGTGGACTATACTGTGATTTCACTGCTGTGAAATAGATTCCTCCAAATGGAACCATTGCCTGTTTTTCCAAAGTAACTATAACAATCTTTATTTCCTTCAGCTGTATTTGGGAGTGTCCTTTTCCTCTTCTCTGCCACCTGGTGATGCTGCTCTTTAAAATTTTTTGCTAATCTCTCAGATAAGCGGAAATTGTGTTTTGTTATTTTATTTTAAATTTCCCTAATAATGAGGTAGAACATTTTCTTTCCGTATTTGTTAGCTTTTTGATTCCTTCTTCTGTCTGAACTGCCTATCCATAGCCTTTGCCTATTTTCCTTATTGGGTGGAAATGACTTTTAGGTAGCCTTTATATTATATTGATATTCACTCATTATCTGGAAGACAAGTAAATCTCCCTCTTCTTTTTAAAATAACTAGGTAGTTAACTGATCTGAATTTTTTCGTATATGACATAAGAATCCACTTAATTTTCCTCCAGATGGATGCCGGTGTAGCAACACCAATTTCTAAAAAGAGATAGCAACTGAGTAGAATTTTTCCCGATACAAATGTCATGCTTTAAATTTACATAAACGTGTGCTGGGTTCTATTTCTAGACTGGATTTTGTTGCATGGCCTATTAACTCAGGCTTTGTAAATACCCCACGATGCTTTTATTATAGGAGTTTTATAGTATGTTTTAGCATTTCGCCTTTTCTTCTTTCTCATAGTTTTCTTGGCTCTTTTCAGGCATTTATTCTTTCCTCTAAACTTCGAAATTACTGTGGCAAATTTAAAAAAAGAACAGAGCTTTTTAATATTTTTAGGCCCACTTCCTACTTTATTGGCACCAACTGTGAAAATGCAATTTAAAATGTTTAATTGGATTACATAAGATATGCTTAAATACATTCCTTTAGTAATACATTTATCCTAGTTTTCAATTTTCCTTTCAAAAATAAATGAAAGGGGACTTATGTAGATTAAAATAAATTATTTAGGAAAAAAATTACATTTCACTGAAACGTCCTTAATCAGATGTGAAAAAATTGTGTAACAGAATCTCTCTTGAAAAAAAACATACTCTGAGTCTCAGAACATCGGCAACACCAGGAAAAATGTGACAGTCCTCCTTAGTCTTTAGGTCATAAATGTATCAAAAATAAATTTTAAATCTTACATTACAAATTAAACCACTAAAAGACTTACATGCCATGATCAGTATTTAACTGGAGAAGTGATTATGTTACTAAATTGCTTTAAAAAACTAAAAGATTTGCTCTAGAATAAATAGTAATAAATGTCACTGGCGTACAATCGGAGAAATCCAGGTATTAGGAAAATACAGGACAGATGCTCAGATGTTTCAATAACCAAATGACCTTATTTGGACCATGAGATCAAACAAATTGTAAAAACAAAAATCAGTAAAATCTGAACACTAAATATTTTATGATATTAAGGAATCATTGTCGATTTTTCTTAGGTGTGATAACAATATTATAGTTATGTTGGAAAAAAGTTATATTTTAGACATGTACTGAAATATTTACAAAAGAAATTATAAAGTGTCTTGTATTTACTTCAAAATAATTTGGAATGAAGAGTGACAGTATAAATAAGATTGCCATGAGCTGATCACTGCTGAAACTGAAATCATTACTTTTACACGTTTGAAACTTTCCGTATAACAGAAAATCAGAAAAAAATTTCCCATTGTTGGAAATTAAGGATTGATAATGTAAGAAAAGGTGATTGACTGAGTGATAATAGCAGAGATAGTGGTCTGGGCTGAATTAAAACCTAACGGGTCATTTAAAAGTCATTACTCCAAAATGATTCATTTCAGGGAGAAACTGAATGCAAAGAAATATCAGATGTTGCAAGATAGACCAAGAGAAAGGAGAAAGTTCAAACTTTCAAGTAAAGGTAATTTCAAACATTTTTACCTTGAGCTCCAGCCTTGTGGTATTTGCCTGGCACCGGTAAGTGGCGAGAAGAAAGTTGTCATTTGACTGGGAAAAATTCAAAGTTAAGGAAAAGCATGAATCCATGTCTTTAAGGATAAAAAGGCATCAATGTTGGCTACCATTTACTGAGCACCTGCCATTTGGGTGGCACTGTGCTAAATGCTCTTTGCTTATTCCTACAAACAACCCCATGTGGTAAGTTTTACTAAGTAACTTAGCGGATGAAGAAACCAAGGCATAAGGGGTTGGGTGAATTTCCCAAAAGCCAGTTAGTAATGAAGCTGGAATTCAAATTCATATCTTTAAGACTCTAAAGCTGATGCTCTTTCCCATCTTGAGTCTCTACGACGTTTTAAAATATGAATTGTTCTAAAAATTTAACAAATGGTACAAACTCCTAATGTTTATAAGACAAAAACATCGATGGTATAGAATGTCTTTGATTTTCACAAATACTTATTTCTCAGAAGACTGAGAAATATCTCAGCTCTGTATTCCCACCAAGTAGCACAGTACCTGGCTTACTGTAGGAATTCAATACATGTTTGTTGAATTAAATTGGAGAGGTTACTTTCAATAATAACTTCTTGAAAATAAATAGTAACTATTAAAATAGAAAAATACATCTAGGTTGATAAATTGCAAATACAAAGCAATATGAATATTTGACGTGTAATTTTCATGTAGTTATATTCCTATTTTTAATACATAACTGAACAAAAAGGATGCTAATCTCAAAAAGGAAATTCGAACATTAACATTTCAAATCATTTACACTCAGTAAACACAGAGGCTCGATCAACTTAAGAACATATTTTGTGTGATTAAAAATAAATGTTATTTACTTAAGTATTTATGAATAAAATGACAATAGAGTAGAAGGGATAGAATGTCCAGGATTAAGTTTGGAATGGGGGAGGAGGGTAAAGAACATAAAGTAAGACTGGCTGTACGCCAAAGCTGTGATGAGTATGTGGAGATAATTATACTATTCTTTCTACTTTTCTATATACTTGAAGTCTCCATAATAAGGTTTTTATAAAGCTATCATTCCAGAAAATGGGTTTTAGATTAGCATAAAATACTCATTCCGAAGAATCCTGCAGTGATGTAAATAAAAGAGGTTAACTTTGAAATTAAAAATTTTATGTTAATATTAACTTGATTTTCTAAATAATCATAAAAATGTAGGTCCTAATCTTTTTATGTGTTCTCAAACAGGGATGACAAATCATAGATAATACAATATAACTGTTATAAAATTTATCAAGGAAAAAAAGCTTTACTACGAAATGATATTGTATTGACAACTATTCCCTAATGTAGCTGTCACCTTTGTCCTTCATCTGTTCTTTTTATTCCTCCCTTTCTAATATGTGTAACTTCCCAGCTCCAGTCGCCATGTCCTGCTCTGGCTTGCCTTCTGCAGTGCAGCTCCCCCGGACCTAACGTTGACCCCACCTTCTCTTCGGGAGCCCCACCCAGCTCCGAGACGCTGGTCTGACAGCACTAAGCAGAAAGAAGTGATACCAGAAGCACGTCCGAGAGCTCTGCCAGGAGCTCCAGGTACTTTGCACATGGTTAAGTGCTCAGTAAACATCTGCTGAATAACGGTTAAGCGATTCAACAAGCCCCGGAAAGCGAGGGCAGACAGAAAGAACAGATCATGTTCAAATGAAGGAATGTGTAAACTATACAGCATTTTCGAGAAATTTTAAAAATTTCAGCTTGGCATAAAAAATGTGCATAGAAGGGAAGGTAGCAGCTGGTGAAAGATAAGTTGGAGACGTTGAACGGTGGAAAATTTTTTATGTCACAGTGAGGAATCTAGACTTACATGCAACAGGAAACAAGAAATCTTTAAAAGGTTTTGAGAAAGAAATGACACGACGATGTTTGCATTTCAGGAAGCCCTCTAGGGGAGGTGTACAGCAAAGCTGGAAGGGAGAGGCAACACCGGAAGCAGACAAAGTGGGGACGAGCAGTTCGAGCAAGCATGAGTGGGGCCTGGAAAGTGAACAGAAGGGGAAATGAAGCAGGGTAAAGGTTTAACAGCCAGGGAGGTAGAACCGGCAGAAACCAGTTGCTCACTGGATTTGAGAGATCAGAGAAAGCAAGAAGTCTAAGCCAACATCCTAGTTTCTGGATTACCAGAGGATAATGAAAAGTGAAGCACTTGCAAATATTGTATGAAGGGAGAGGCTGAAGAAGAAACGTTGAACCCTAGTGGCATTTATTGGTTTTATCCAAAACAGAGTAATAGAAATGAAAGCGTCAGGAGCAGCAGTCTCCAACCTGTTTGGCACCAGGGACCAGTGCTCCTATGATATTCTAATGCCTGATGATCTGAGGCGGAGCTGAGGCGGTTACGCTAGTGCTGGGGAGTGGCTATAAATACAGATGAAGCTTCGCCCGCTTGCCCGCCGCTCACCTCCTGCTGTGCGGCCCAGTTCCTAACAGGCCAGGGACCAGTCTGTGACCCAGGGGGTTGGGGATCCCTGGTCTAAAGAAGTCTTTCTATTTCTTACTCACCTCAGAATCACAGCTGCTAAAGCTGACAACAGCAGAATTTTTATCCACGTCAAGTAAGTCTACTGGAACATCGCTCTACAGTCAATGTTAAGAAAAAGGAGGTTCAGATGGAAAACTAAAAATTTTCGCAAAACGTATTTTCTCTAGGGCTTCTCCTTGTGTTCATCTTTAAATTTGAGAATATAAAGTCTCTTAATTTATATTTGATAATATGTACTTCTAGAAGGTAAACAGAGAATAAATGTTATATTACAATGGCCCATGTTTTCCTAATTTGGATTAACAGAAATTATAGAATATCACCTCTCACTACCCCATTAAAAGTATCATCTTTCTCTTTTTGTCAGTGCTAAATACGCTATGGGCTACAAATAATCGTAAGGCCATTCTGATCACGCCAGCTTCATTGTTTTGGTCAATTTGAACTTGGGCGGTAACACAGACGGGAGGTGACCTTCGGCCTCCTCTGGACAGAGGCAGTTTCGCAGAGACACGGTCGCCTTTCGCTATGCACTATGCCCCTGGAGCTGCCCGAAGCAGCGGGCTCTGCGCTGGCACTAGTTAAGAGAGATTTCCACCTTTACGTTTTAACTAATAATCTGCTCTCTCCACACGTTTTTAAACCTTGTCTTCCTCTTCTTTATTCTTTTCTCATTTTCTGACAGGCTCTTTAGTCATTTGCTTGTTTTCCGTTCATCGTACTGTCATCCTTTTCCACTTTCTGACTATCTTCCAACTTAAAGGACTAATTAAATATACTGATGGAGTTATATTTGTATAACATAAATATAATACATGCAGTTGTACCTCATTAAGCCTAAATTTCACCTTCGAAACTATCTACTGTGCCTACTGACCTACCTGGTAACTGGTGGCTGATGAGCAAGCTGTCCTGCAGGCTATCGTTTTAGTATATGGAGCTTTAAAAAAGGTTCAAATAAGGGCATCAACTACTAGAGATCTCTAGGTCACGGCCCTCGTAAGCTCCCAGTGAAGGCTAAGGAACACGCCCTGACATCCTCAGTGACTCGCCCTGACAATTAAGTCCATCTGTCCTCTGTCTAATATGTACAGGACAAATAAAAGGTATAGTTTAGATAATCTATGAGCAAAGGTATAGTTTAGGTAATCTATGATTACCTCATGGAAGATTAAGATAAACCTTTAAAATTACTACCTAAACTAAATGACGAACGTCTAAAATTACCATCTAAAAGTGTTCAATAATAATGAGGGCAGATGACTGGTGTGCGAAATAGATCTAGTCATAAAAGGAAGAAGTCAGAGGTTTTGCTCACCTGTATTAAGACGTTATCTATTGCCGTCTGCACCTCTAAGATTAGGCTGTAGCTGGCATCATCTTTATTTAACGTAAACTTGTCATTTATACTAAAGGAAGGTACTGTGGACACTGCTTTGCTTGACTGAGAAGCCTGCTGATATTTCTCTCTCTCCTGTAGGACCTTATACTGCAGCTGTTCCAACTCACTCCTGGAGGAAAACATACACAACTGTGTTACCGGTAAGTACAAACTTACTTAGACTTAGAATATTTGTTAAAATGTGAGACATTTACCTCTGCAAAATGAATTTTTATTGGTTGAGCTAGAACTATAGTGCTAATAGAAACAAAATTTATGCTGCTATGACCAAATGATTCCACATTAGTTACCTCTAATCTAAAAAATCAAAACATCTACTCGGTCCTATAGTAGCAATATTAATAAAGAATCATTAAGTATCAAATAGTCAACTCTAGTTGGAGGCGCGCATCTGGTTACACACAGCACCAAGCAGAAGAGAATCTGACCGCCCTGGTGCAGGGGGATACAACAGCCTTAAGGAGAAGCGGCGGTCAACACGGGCCTTTCAGTAAGACACGAGCGGAGGTGGACAAAATAAGGAGTTCGCAGAGCACTGACATCCGGGGGACCACGAGGACGATTGGGAGCCAGCGGGACAGCGGAGGTCCCACTGAATGCTGGGGAGGGTCGTGCGGAGCCTGCACTGTGCAGGCTCCAGTTACCCAGAAAGATGGCACGCGAACGAAGCAACAGGAACCGGGTTGGAACAACAGGAGGCTTAGCGACCCCAGTGCGGGGGGGACGTCGCGGAGCAGCCTGGAAGGGGTTTGTGCAGTGAACGAAGGATTCACACGTTCGAGCACAGAGCGCCTCACATGCACCTGCGCTCCAGGTGCTGAATGAACCAGGCAGCAGCTTCTCCCGAGCGGCCCCAGAGGAGGCGGCCTTGGTTACAAACACGAGGCAGGTTCCCGAGGACGTGAGACAGTCCTCGGGGACGCTCCTCGCTATCCTGCTGTGTGAACACGACGGCTTGCTCTCCTGCTGGCTCTGGAGGACTGGTGTGTGGAGAACCTGTGGTGTGGCCTTAGTGAACTAGCACTTGCGGCCTTAAAAACTTCTGTACCCCTCTACTGTCCAAAAACGCTGGCCCCGCGCTCCCCCGACAGGACGGCAAGGGCTGACGTGGGAAGAGCAGCCATTAAAAGTTCCAGCAACTCCCACTTCTTCATCATATGAGGCAGTTTTACTTGAGTCCTCTTCAAAGCACTTGTCAGACTGAAGAGGCCACCAAAGCAATCCCTGTGTCTAAGGAAGTCAGCATTACTCACTTCCAGTAAGAACACTTAAAAGCCAAAATTACAGATTCAGAAAGGTCCACAGGAGCGGTGAACGTTAGAATTAATGAAGAACAGAGCCATCTGTGTTAGATTCCTTCTAATGTCTGCGAAAAAACAAAGCATTACAACTACCTATAACCATATAGAATAAAATACACAAAAAGTACATTTCTAACTCTAAAATATTAATCAAAACTTACTGCTAATTTCCTCAAACTGATAAACATTCATTTTAAAAAAGTAATAAACTACTTAGTAATATTAATTCCTTCCAATAAAATATATTGTATCCATTAGTAATAATAATTTTTAAAAAAAGCCACATACGTCATGAGATGAAAAAGAGGCAGTGAAATTACCGTAAAGTAGAAATTTTATTCTGCATCTCCTGATTAATTCTCAGTTCTTCTCCGGGGCCGCTTTCCTTATGAACGGGCTCTGTGGTCAGACCTGTAACCCAGCCTGTAGAGACGAGCCACAGTCAGGCACCATTCAGTGCTGCTGGTGTTAAATGAAACCCTAGTTTACACACCCTTTGCCCACCGACATCACCTTCACTTAACTCCTACGACATGTTCCTCTTCGAAAAAACAAAACAAAAGCAAAAGAAACCAAGCCGGAAAATATTCAAACCATAAAGAAATTACTTCGGCATTTTATAACACTATTTTTGCTTTGCCTGAAAGACTATAATACTATGATTAAGGAAATCTTTCAATTATTAATTTACAGCTTTAGCATTCAGTATGGAATTAGTCAACATTCTAGCAAATGCTAGGTGGTAATAGCTGATAATAAAAATTGTTTTTCAGAAATTATTTTCATGGAAAGCTGAACTCTTGTATAACTATTATGAGAATGCAAAAATGACCTACTCAAAAGTAAGCGAGTTTTAATAAGAAATGTATACAGTAACAAACTAAATTTTTTTTAAACCGAAAAATATCACTTAACATTTAAAGATATTAGTGACATGCCAAGCACTCTTAAAAACTATCGTTTAAACATTAACTGTTTTGTAAATCGATTGGCCCACTCCTTCCCTCATTTTTTAACCAATAAGGCTGTTAATGCTGTAGATAAGTGAATTACTAGTAACACTTTTTTTTAAAGTAGTCATCCGAAGCAATCTATTAAATTTACATTTTTTATTATCGATTTTTTCTTCAACTACCTATTACCCTTTGCCTTACCTGAGTATGTGGATACCACGATTTCATCATAGCCATCTTTACCTACACAGCCGCCCTGGATAGACGTGACACTTTCAGACAACGTCTGAAATAAATTTAAGATCAAGCACTTTATTAGCAACTAAAAATTTTGCAGATATGTTCAAATAAACCACAAAACTTATTTTCCTGTTTCCAGACATTCAACATACATTTACTGAATACTCTTTTATATAGATGCTGAGATTAGAAAGGCAAAAATCCTGCACAAATGTCAGAAAACTTATGTGTTTTTAAATTCTAGGAATGACTGAAAATGACTTATGTATTTGCGTGTACCATTCAGCTAAAGTAGTCATTTAATGAGCAAAAATTGTTTCTTTATATAAAGAAGTTGTTTAAAAATTATATAAGCAAAACTCTCAAAATATTTAGTCTATCATCAGAATTCCAGAGACCACCTCTCATGTGTTTTCTCTGAATTGTTTTTCAGATTAATAAAGAAGATGAAAGCAAGATTTTCAGGAAGTTCAGGGCTTACATCTCTTTTAAGCAGTACTCCCCAAACTTGTCTGATAATAATCACTTGGGTGAGTGAACAAATCTGTATTTTTAACGGAACACTCTATGCCAGTGGCTTTTATGCTATTTGGAAAGCAAGCAATGTATTTTACATTGCAATCTGGTAGAGATTCACACATGAACATACACAACAGATATCATTTAAAAGGTTTATGTTGCACCCTGGCATATTCTAATCCATTCTATCTCACTAAAAAAAAAAAAATGTGCTGGCAACCCACTAATGGGTTTTGACAAGCAGTCTGAAAACCTCTGCCAGGTAATGCTTATCAGGAAAGACTGAGACCCATTGTGGTAAAGGAGAAGGTGGAGGAAATTGACCCTCCCGGCAGGAGGCGAATCTCTGAGCTGCTCTGCACATCAGGCTCTGGGCTCTTCCTGACACTAGTTACCTGCGAGATTCAAGTAACAAAGGGTTGTTATAAATTTGCAAAATGTTAGCTTTTTTTTAACGAGCAGATCTCACAAATACTACAAGTCTTCAAAACTTTTTATTCATGTTCTCATTAAAGTAATTCTGAAAAAAAACAAAACAAAAACTTTACACCCTCCTGTACATTTTTAAGCTGTCTTTTGGGTTTTTCATCGCAACTTTCAATAGTTACAAAAAATGTAATTTCTGGAAGTTTGAACTTTTTTGATTAACCAACCATCGGTCCAGACTGTGTCAGATAAGAGGACTTCAGATCAGGAAAACAATAGAGAGTGAATCTGAGAAGAGGCCGTGTGTTTGCAGCCTTAACGCAATCTGAAAGCAGTGCCCTGTCATTAGACAAACAGGACGAAGAAGGAAGACAGGGTTTCTCAGTGTCACCCCAGGGAAGGAGGGAAAGCTCTGTCAGCACAGGAGTTTGGAACAGAAGCCGAAGCGGAGACTTAAGGTCTAATGAGTTTCTCAGGGGTTGATGAGAAAAAGAACAGGAGATTACAGACAAAGGACTATTGTATACTTTAGGATTACTGTATGCAAAGGATTATTGTAAACTATTGTTTGCATTATTAGCAAGAGGCTTTTTACATCAAAAATGAACAAATATGAAATCGAGAAAATAAGTTGTATAATATTTTATCCCCGTATTATCTATATAATACACCTTAGTACACCAAAATATCTGTATTTGCTGATCTGCAGTTAAAGTTGGGACTGGCAGGTATCGCTATTAGAGGAATTAGACAAAAAAAAAAAAAAAAAGAAATTTGACACCGAATTGTGCCTTTTTGTTTTTAAACTGCCTCAATGCATCCTGTGTGAGGCAGGATGGAAAACCCTGGACTAGAGAATTCTATTTCATGAAAATGAAAGATTCGGTTTATACCAGAATGCCTCTCCATGTGACTCTGTACCTTGGGATAAATAAGCTGAATTACATTTAAAATTTGTGAACTAAAAATTACTCTTATCTAGTATTTCTTATACTGTGGACCCAGGGGTGGCTAAAAGTAACATTGCTACTTTTCCCTCTCTGCTTAAGGATATTTTTTATATTGTCTTGAAACCTTATCACTTTAAGAAAAACACTTTCATTTAAGTAACCCAAACATGTTAGTCCTGTAATCAATTATGCATTGTAGAAACTAAGGCAAAATTTTTAATACTTTAGATGTACAATATTTAGAAACTGAATGAAAAATGTATTATTCAGCTTGAAGGCAAGAGTCTTCTATTCAAACATAAGAGTGGTCTAAGAGATTTTGATAACATCAAAGCAGCAATATTTTAAGCCAAACATAAGATTGCAATGTATTTCATTTAATAAAACCCCAATCATCATACTCGACTCTATAACTGTTTGATAAATAAAAAGCATGTATGGCCTTTTTATCGACGAACCCACCTGATCGAATCGCAGCACAGGCTCGTTTGCATGATCGAAGCTGTAAACCTCCACTAGGCCATCATCTCTCCCAACCAGTAAGTCTTTAACCCCGTCACCCACGATGTCAAAGCTGTCAATGCATAAAACACCTTTAAAAAAGTGATGTGAGAAGTTATTAAGAAGACTAATATCATGGTCAAGTACATATCAAACAAGAAAATATGTATGTACCAAATCAAAGTTAAAAAACAACAATAACAACAAAAAACTTTGAGCACAATCAGGTGGCCTTTCTTTTCCACCCACATCCATCCATTTCCAAGGCTTTAAATATCATCTACGTGCAACGGCCCCTAAGTTCCCATCTCCAGCTCTGGCCTCTCCCAGTTTTCTGCTTGTTCGTTTGTTCTGTCTTGGTAAATTAGATGTCATACCCCCACTTAGAACTCTCCAAAGACTTTCCAATTCCAACCCTTCTCCAAGGCTCAGGAGGACCTCCAGGATTCGGCCCCACCCGTCTGACGTCACCTCCCTCCAGCTATTGCATTCAGCCACACTGGTCCTCCCAGGAATTCACTGCTCCACAAATGAATCAAGTCCATCTCTGCCTTAAGCCCTCATCTATTCCTCTTCAGGGAACATTCTTTTCCCTCAAATCTTTACATTACTAATTCCCTATCAGTCAGATCTGAGCTCAGATTTCACCCGCTATAAGACTTTCCAGGACCGCCCAGTGGAAGCAGCCCTCCTCCTTCTCCCCATCACTCTCTAGCACGTAATCCTGGTGCATTTTCTTCAGGTGACTGACCGGCTGAAGCTATCCTATTTATTCATTTGTTTATCCTCTGTCTCCCCCTAACAAGTAAGTAGAAACATGCTGTACTTATAAACAGCCATCTCGCTACCTACCAAGTCAGATATAAATTCCCCTCTGAAAAGTACAAATTCCTTAGAAAACAGGAAGTCACTGTACATCTTCCTCGCCTCACACCAAATCCTCCCAAATCCCAAGCAGTACCCTACGACCGAAGAAGCACGGATTGAGCGCAGAGTGATGTTACAGATGGACATTAGCCCGTAAGGGCCTCGCCGTCCCAAATCACTATTTGCATGTCTTACTTTAAAAAATTATGCCAAAAATTACGATAGATCTGCTAAATAAACAAGTAGCAAAGGTATCTGAGATGGCTCTGTGAATTGCTAAGTCTGTTATCTATGTACTATGAATAAATAAAACAGAATAAACTATGTAAGCTGGGATATTTAATAATTACCGAAATTTCAGAATCTGAACTACATCAAAAACACACCTCCCCTCTTGTTCTCATTTCGAATCTCCCACTTGTGTATCGGCTTGGCTGTGGTGACCTGAATAATCCCGAGTTTTCCATCTGATGTTCCAAACAAAAGGTCTTCTCCAGAGTCACCTAGTTATAATGAAAACCAATAAATCGTATTTATCCCACAACTCGTCTCTTGAAAATCAAAATATTTGCATGTATGTTGACTTTCATTTAAAAATCTCATTTAAAAATATAAAAAGATAGAAGACTTAATTTGGGAGGATGATTACATAGTCACAATCTAACTTTAAGAGGAGAAAACTGGAAATTAAAGTTCAATAACTTATTACTGTTCATTACTGGCAAGTTATCAGAAAACAAGAGTCTCAATTACAGTTCATATTCTTTCTACAAGTTCCCATTTTCACTTTATAGTTAAATGATTAAAAACCTGGAACGTCTAGACATAACGTAATGCGCTCCCTTATCTGATAGTGAAGAATGAAATCCTGATTACCGCCAATCCCACCGTGCAACGCTAAAGCAGTCGGCGGGCCGGGAACTTCAACTTCATATAAAACGTCGGATCCCTGAGGGAGAACAAGTGTTTTAAAGCTGAAACACAGTACGAATTTAAAATGATACAGGCACTCGGAGATAACATCAACATTCATGTAAGGAACTCTACAGTAACACTTGAAAACATTAGGTTGTGAATATTAACTTGCATTTGTTAGCAATTTTGCATGTGTTAACTCATTTTAAAACATAAATAAAATGAAAACATCGAGAAGAGAAATACTTAAAAGAGTCTCTATTTTCGATACTTTTCATGTGAAATTCCGTATGCCCGAAGGCTTGACACTGTAAATTTTCCTAACAAAACTCTCTGGGGACACTGGTTTCTCCCGTCCTAACTCATGGGCTTTCACATAGAGCACATTCTAACATTTAAACAGACCCAAAGCTACTTTCTAAGGGAAATTCTGGCCTTGCCTTTGGGTGTTTCCAAAACCCACTCCAGTGAGAGGCAGAAAGACCTGCTATTTAGATAAAGAAACAAGTTAGATCCTTTCATTCGTCTTTAAAAAAAAAAAAAAAAAAGCGATGCTCAGTTAGTGCACAGGATTTGTGAAGCTGTAAAGAATGTCTCAGTACTTAAACTCAGAAGGAAAACTCATGATAAATCATACGATGAAAAAAAAATGCAAATTTATAGTAAAAAATTTAAATATCTATAGAACATATAAGAGAGCCACGTGCTTTATCTTTTATTTAAAGTAACACGTAAGAATTTACAGATATCTACATATAACTACATAAATACAAAAGAATACACACAAGACTGTTTTAAAAGGCCACGTCTGGGACCACAGATCGCCTAAAAGGCAGCTGGGAGCGGGCAGAGCGTTTAGGGCAGAGGACAGACTGCAACTGCTTTCCATAAATCCTTAGTGATTTTTTTTTTTTATATACAATAAGCATATGGATCTCTTACTGTTAAACAGAGCATAATCCTAGAATTCAGCTACATCAACTTTTGATTGGATGCTAGCTAGCTCCTGTTAAGCCTTATTCACAGCACAGACAAGGGGAGAAATTAATCATTCATGCTTCTAGAATGAAACTCGAACAGCGGCTTTAATTCCCCTTAGGGAAAAAAAACTTCATAGAACCGCTGGATTTTTCCTTTTATGAAAGGGCTGATGCCAAGACATGCATGGCCATCTGGCTGTGAAACTCCAGAGAGAGACGGCCAGTGGTGGCACGGAACAAGCAGCCAGGCTTCTGTTCAACCACGACACTCAGCCTAAGTTTCTCAATCAATCACTCCGCCTGTGATTTGTTACTGGCACTTAAACTTTATTTTATAGGTCCTAGTGTAGGTATGTATTTTATTGAAAGTCACTTTTAAGAAGACATAACTATAACTATTATTACTGACAACAACAGCCTTAGTAGATGTTTTAGCCAATCGCAGTTTTTAATTTTTCTCCACTATCACTCATTTACATATCTAGCAAATATTTACTGAGTGCCTATTGTTCCACGCACTGTCGTAAACTGTGGGTCAACTCAAGCGATACAGGCCTGATCACAAACATCTCCTGCTAAAGCCTAACACCCTCTCTCCAACCCAACTGCCTCCTTTAATTTGATTTTTGGGAGAGGAGAGAGTGATGGAGGAAGAAAGCAGGAAAGCAAGCAAGCGAGAAAAGAAAGAAAAGGTAAGAAGGGTTTTTTGTAGCAAAGGCACTCTATTCCGGTTATCTTAGCTCAAAATTCGTGTGGAGAGACGGACATTAGCCCTTTTATCCATAAATGCCCCTCTAAGAACTTGCCAAAGATATCAACACATTTGCCTCAAGTAAAAAAAATTAGTTTATCAATTAAAATAGTAAACTTTTTTTCCAGATATCATTTTAAGCCATTTAAAGTGGCTAGTAATCACTAATTTATCTCAAGTACACGCTGTCCTATTCATTAACCTAAATTATGAAAAGTTATAAAAATGCAAATAACAGCAACCTGTAAAACTCTGAGAACTCTGTCTTGGCAGGCCAATACCGGTGTAACGCGAGATAACCTTTCCACAGGAAGGCAGATGACGTCATTGATTCTGTCCCCAGAAAGGTAATAATGTTGGTCTTTGCAGTCACAATAGTGGTTATAGATATAACTTGCACTGAGGAAGAGGTCTGAGCCAGATACGTACCTGAGAACATTAAAAGTACTTTAAGACATCCATTGTTTGAAAAATAAGCATAGAAAAATCCTGAATTTTTTTCAGAGATAAAAAGTGCGTTTACACAATTTACTACTTTATCACAAACTTAGAGACACAGTTTTGTTTTGTTTTTGTTTTTGTCTTCCATTTCCCCCCACTAATTTCTAGCTTTCTGGTATAACACTGATTCTGAAAGCTGAAAATGAAGATCTTAAGGCTTCGGGCTTCTCAAAAATCGAGGTCAGAAAAACTGAAAACAGACAAAATAACGATAATTTGTCTTTATCTGAAGACAAATAATATTTTAAAAAGTAACTTTTTGAACACGTACTGTGTGCCAAGCATTGTCCTAAGTGATTGACACGTATTAGCTCGATGCTCGCAACTCTGTAAACTAGGAACCATCACTACCCCTTTTCACAGGTGAATGACAAAATGTTAAGTAACTTGCCTAACGGCACACAGCTAGTAGATGTGGACCAGGCTGCAACTGAGGTCGTTTTCAACTCCAAAGCAAGCCGTTTTAACTACCAGACTGTACTGCCTAGCAAAGGCTAGCTGAAGTGAATCTACTTTAAACTAAAGGATAAACAGTGGAAAAATGACTTCATTAGCATTTTATCTTGAAAAAAGAAAAACAAGTTCATTTCATAGTATACTTAATAAAATGCAGGCAATAATCACAACTATGTTCTAATTCTTAAGACTGAATAAAGTTTTCACAGGGGGACCTGAAATTTTTTAACAAAAATTATATACCTTTCCCTTCTAGATTGCTATTACCATGCGATCACAGAGAGGGTACTATGGTTTTATTTGAAGGTTTCACATATTTCTACTCCTCTAAAGTATATTTAAAATATTTTTATACTATAATTATTCCTTATCCTATAATGATCCTCATTTTCTTTTTCAATCATTGTTTAGGGGGCCTCGCTTCGTGGCTCTGCATATGATTTCAGCAGTCCTCTCAAAATCATTTCTATCAACCTAATGAAAATTCACCTTTACCAAGGTTTGAAATTTCTTTTGGAAATCCATCTGCATTACATTTGCATTACGCTGTCCAAGTACTACCTGGTGTCCATTTTTATGGACAAGAGTCAGACGGATGGAAACATCAAGCAGAGAAGGGGGTGTGAGTGATAATCGATTTGATAAGTGGTTGATTTCCTTACTGAATATAGTTATAACCTGTTTTCCCAGGCAACCTTGCAAAAACGTGGAGATGCAGGTAATAGTTTTTCAAAAAAGTGAGTAGAGAACCTTTCCATCCCACCTCTGCCGCGCCAGCAAGAACATCTCAGAAACGGGGTAGAGAGACGATTTGTCAGGTCCTCCTCCCCGCAGGCAGCTCCTTACCTTCTCACCTCCGTCCAGTACCTTTCTGAACGGGCACGGTACGCGGAGCCATGCTAACAACTACTTTATTACTTCCATTTTAGTATTTTATCGTTGGCTATTCCTATCTACAAAAACATTTCAAAAGTATTATTTTCTTGTGGAACCACTGAAAGTACTTCCACTTGTCATTGTTTAATTCTTATCTAATCTCGTCAAATTTTGCAACACATCAGGATGCGTGTTGTACATTATGCAGAATTATACGAGAGAGCTGGACTGGATCAGCAGTCTCCGAATGGGGGTCTGGCTGCTTATACAACTTGGCTGCATCAGATGCAAATCCAGAACTTTTTCCTTTTAACCCACCCCCAATAATTACGAATCTGCATGTATAAAGTAGGACAAGGATCTGATTGTTTTTAAGCTTCCAGGGGATTCTCCTTAGTAGCAGATCTGAGGAACGGTAAATAAGAGGAACTTTAAAGCTCTTTCCAGCCCACGATTCAAAAACTAAACTAAAATTATAATTCCAAACTTCACATTTCAGGAAACCATGAAGGGAGCTATTTTTCACTTAGAGTCTTACCTGACTCACCTGAAATGATGCCCTATGACAGTCACGAACTTTAAGGGCCAGTCTCTTAAGAAAATGATGCTACCTGAAAACCAGAACTCTCAGAGACAGCACAGAAACAGAAGCTTAAATATCTGGAGATTTCTTTTACTTTTTCATTTTATACTTTGATCATGAATCATAACTGAACCAACCAGTCAAAAATGAATGTATAAATACTAAAAAAAGTCTTAAAAACGTTTCAACCACCAATTGATTTTATATTGATTCTAGCTCAAATTTAATTTCTGACTCATAAAGTACCTTCAGTCAACTGTATTTCCCAGAAAACCTATTAAGATATGATACTTAATCAGCTATTTGTCACCTCTCCAAAATATTATAAATGGATACATAAAAACAAAGAGAATAAACATACATAGCTTTAATGCTTTCAGTGAGGTTTGTTTCAAAAGAGAGGAACTGTTTTCCTCTCTTTGTGAAGCCTCTAATCTCAGACCCCGCAGCAACGAAAATTTTCTCCTGGGGCGTGTTCAGAACCCCTCCCAGTTCCAGTCTTGCAATCTTCTGCCCCGGTAAAGTCTTGAACACTGCCTGCAAAAATCATTGGTGGAAAATTAAGTACACAGATTTACCGTAAGCATCTTCCTTTACTGTAAAAAAACGCTGTGATTTTAAATTTGCAAAAATACTACAGGTCTACTATACAGAAATATCTTTAGAAATAAATGTATTTACTTCAGTAGGTCTTCTGGGTTTTTTTGCTAAATACCTTCAAACTTTGGAATACTTATTCCCAGATATTTCAGTGACATGATTAAAATCTAAACTCTCGCAACTCAAAGTAGGATTCACTAAGCAGCAACATCACATCACTAACTTTATTAAAAATGCAGAATCTCAGGCCCAATCCCAGATCTACAGAATGAGAATCTACATTTTAACAAGATTCTCCAGCTGGTTCCAATAAACATGTTATTATACTTTAATCATCATTTAAAAACTAATATCTCTTGGCTTCTTTATAATTTTTATAAATTTTAGTATAAATAAAGGACTATAGGACTTACTGGAAACCTGAATGTTTAACTTTATATTTGTCTATTTAATGGGAAACAACGTATCATCGAATTCTTCCTAGCTATTTTCCATTTTATTACCAGCATCAGAGTCTTCTTCCCCTATAACTTTATACACAGCAAGCAAAAAAACGAATAATTGAAAATTGAGTTTCTGATAAGTTTTCACCCTCTTTGCCTTTTTCGTAAATTCCATACAAGGTATAATGAATATAAAAGTTCACATCTCAAACCCATCACTTGTAAACTATGACCTGTGAATATATCGCTTCCTAGATTAGGTTATATTAAGTAGCAAGGGCGATGGGAGAGTCACTTCCATGTTGCATTATGTTCTATAAGCCGCTATCTTAGCAGACGGACAGATTTTCCAGTCTGTCTGAAAACGTAAGTCACCACGTTGTGACAGGGCCTGTGAAAGACCACATAGCAAGGAACTGTGGGGGCCTCAAGATGCTGAGAACAGGCTCTGGCTTACAGAAAGCAATAAAGTGGGGACCTCAGTCCTACGACAGGAAGGAACTAAATTCTGCCAACAACCATGTGAGCTCAGAATAGCACTCGGAGCTCCAGAAAGGAATAGAGCTTGGCTAACATATATACATTGCAGACATGCGAAACTCTGAGCCCAGGCTCCAGACTCACAGATACTGTGAGTTAATACATATGTGTTGTTTTAAGTCCTTAAGTTTGAGGTAATTTGCTGCACATCATAAAAAACAAATAACTCACCCTAGGCTGTCAAAAGTGTTTTACAAATAGCTGGCAAATGACTCTTGTACTGTCTACAGCCTCATACTTCATATAACGACTTCCTCCACAGCCCACCTTTCACTGTATTTTAGAAAATGTTTAACCTAGGATTATTCAATAAGTAGCGTGTTACTCTTTTAGAAAATCCTTTTTTCCCCCTAAATAAAAAAGCCATACATACCACCGCTTCTCCTTTCTTCATGCCAAAGCACGTAACTACCCCATCATGATCTCCAAGAACCACCTGTGATAGAGTGAAGAGAATCCAAAATTACTACTATGCTCTATGAACTACATATGGAGAAAACAATATTCTCGATTTATAAATTATGATTTTAAAAGCAGAGATAAAAAATCTGGGAAAGACACCACCACAAAAAATAATCCCCCCCAGAATTACAGAGAAAGGCCAGAGAGAAGGTCGTGGGGCGCTGTTACAGAAGCAGCCGGCCATACTTTCTGTTGCAACGATGTAGACAGAACAGAACGGGGACAGAAATGGCGGAGGTGGGCGGCAAGTGGGGGGACTTTTTTTCCTTAAGTGGAGCATAAGAATGCTTTATGATTGATTTTCAAAACAGATTATCTATTAAGGATGTGACTGACTTACTTGATATTTTTAAAACCTTTGTAAAGGAAAATTTTTAACATATGCAAAAGTAATCAGAATATTTTAATGAATTCCAATGTATCCATCATCCAGTAACAATGATCAGTTACCATTGTGGCCAATGGATTATTCTGAAATATATAGAGAGACTAACACTTCTTTCTCAGAAACTGATAATCAAGAAGAGGAAAGGTAAGAAATGGATTAGGAAAACGATTACCTTTCATCTCATACATATGCACACATGGATACATGTAGAGGTGTGTGCATGTGTGCATAAATGAATAAGTCACTCATCCCAAGAATCAAAGTACAAATATTCAAGCACAAAGAAACATTAGACAATTGGCCGAGTATTAGGATATAAAACGAGTCTCAAATATCAAAAAGTTGACATCACACAGACTTTGTTCTCAGACCACTGATTCTTGACTTTCTGCGGGGAGATCACCAACCTCTGTGTGTTTCATGAAAACTGCACTTTCTCCCTAGAGTGATGAACATTCGCGAATAATTACGTTCACATTTTCGGGAGACTGATGCGCTTTGGTACTGGCAGAGATTTCTTTTCAGATGAAAAATATGTAATAATAGTTAAGGTTTGATTTTTTGACAACACACTACTCCAAGAATTTCTACAACAAGAATCTATTACAGGGATTCCCAAAGTGTGGTTCCTTGACCCCTGGAAGTCAATGAGAACCTTTTGGGGAATGTGTCGGGTCAACAGTATGTTTGGAAGTAAATCTTTATCTCCTTTTTCACTGGGTTGGTTGATATTTACACGCTGGTGCAGAGTAATAGTGGCTAAGATTACTGGTGTCTGACAAGAAACAAAACAATGACACCGAACCATACCAGTCGTGTGTAATCTTCATCGCGTTTGAGAAGAAAAAAAAGTTTTGTGTAAGAATGTCCTTGAGGAGGCAGTAAAAATTAATCTTATTGAATCCTGACCTTTGAATACACGCCTTTTTAACATTTAGTGTAAGAAAAAAGGAAGTATGCATTAAGCACTTCTGCTGCATATCCAAAGAGTCTTCAGGAAAAACACGTGAATAACTGAGCTATGAGCTGAACTATCCACTTTTTCGAGAAACACCTTTTTTAAGAATGAAGAATAACCAACAACTGTTGTTATTAAAACATGGGTATTTTGTGGAATTTTTAAAACCTGAAGGAAGAAGTGAGCTTGTTATTTCAAAGGAAAACAGCTAACAGTATTTGCTACCAATGGTAAAGTCTGAGCTTTCAAGTGAAAAATTCATACTTTGGAAGACTTGGATCTGCCACTGTGAGACTGACAGCTTCCCAATACTTAACTTTTCTGAGGAGATCGGCAGTGGCATTAACAAATGTGGTATGTCTGATGTTCTATAACATGTGTCAGCATTTGCAGGATCTATATAACTCAAATGAACCAATAACCTCAAATGACCATCACACGATGCTATACATTCATGCATGGGTAAAAGATCCATTCAAAGTACAAGACAGATCAATGGATTTTAACGTATCAAAGTATGAAAAGTTAATCAATATGGTTTCCGAGTCCATAATGCACATGTGTAAGACCCATAATTATCTGGAAAAGTGATTTAAAGACTATTTTTAATATGTGTCTGTGTTAACCAGATTTTCTTCATATACTTCAGCCAAAACAGACATGAAAACAGACATGAGAATGCAGGTACCTTTGCTTATGCTAGACTACAGAATTTGCAAAATGTAACACAATACCACTACTAGCACTAAATCCTTTTATTGTTTTTGGAAATAGTTATTTTTCATAAAAATGTTATTTATGTAAACATGTAATAGGTTTATTATTTTTAAAAAGAAAAATATTTTAAACACTTCCTAGCTTAAATTGTAATACAGTAAGTATTGATAAACTACATAAACAAAAGTTCTTTGGGACCCTCAATAATTTAAGAGTACAAAAGGGCCTTGAGACCTAAAAATTTGAGATGTGCTGATCTAGCAGACTGAATGTAATAAATGACAATCAGAAATCTGTTGATTTATCTTGATAAAATGTTAATATATCAGGATACTATATTTATTTTGCAGCTATTAAAATATCTAGTCTACGGCCATGCTACCCTGAACACACCCAATCTTGTCTGCTCTCAGAAGCTAAGCAGGGTCGGGCCTGGTTAGTACTTGGATGGGAGACCATCTAGGAAGACCAGGTGCTGTAGGCATAAAATAAATATACATATCTATATTTACGTAGATAGATATCTATAGATATAGATATATAGATATAGATATCCCAATAGTCTACTAAGAAATTATAATTGTCTTGTCTCATAGGATCAATCTTTCAATAAAAATAATCAACACTGTCAGTTAAAGTGCAATATCAAAATATTTAATTACTCTTAAAATACGATAATGTTTCAAAAAAGCATTTTCTCTATATTCAATTGCATTTTACATTTCTTTTTTCATACACACAATCTGGTGCACACAGTACACACAGAGTAATTATTTTTAAAAAAATGGAATATGGTTTTAACAAGTTTGCTTATTCTATTTACTAATTGTACACAGTAATTCTAACGTCCAAGAAAATTACTGTTTGTAAATGTTTCTTGGTATTCTAACATCTTTTCAAAGAAATCCATTTCAACATTAGCATTTTAAAAAGAATAACTGACCAATAAAGAAGGAAATATAAACCTCTCCTCTGTCGGAACTAAGGCGATATGGAGAAATCAGTATCTCTATAGTACCTTTTGTGTCGCTCTATGTCTTGAGGCAGGAAGTAGCTTCATGGTCTTCTGAGAGGTCACTCCCACCTAAGGAAACACACCGGCCACCTAGTGAATGTTCTCTCATACACTATACTCCGAGTTTTACATGAAAGATTAAAAGGACCAGCAGATTCAGATCATAGTGAATCTTATTCTTTATTGCAATAATTAGTAATATGAAATCATTATTATCAGCGATGAACTTATTCGCTAATGAAATATGCCACAAACGTCAGAATTTAAAAAAAAAACAAAAATAGTAAAATTTACGTTTGTCAAAATTTATGTTGTCAAGCCAAAAAAAAAGGGTGACATTACTGGCAAGATACTTCATGAAAAAGTATTTCTTGAAGCCTTCTTTTACAACTTCGTGCAGTTGTTTGTTTTTGGAAAGTGATTTAAAAATCTTAGGAAATCGTTATTAAAAACACAACAAAGGTTTTTGCCAAAATACCAAACGTGCTGATGCTGTGACATCCAATAAAGCTGATGATGAAGCTTATTTTACAAAAGGTACAGGAGATGAAAACAGCAAGTTCAGTGGAGAACTGTCGCTAGCAGTGCACAGTTACCGGAAGAGGATGGGGGAGAAAGAACTTACACGTAGATTATAGATCTATAATGTCATTCCGTATTCCAGAGAGCAGTACTGAAGTTTAAAACAATTTATTTGGATATGTATTTTGAAACATCAATCTAGCACGTGCTGTGAAAGACAGCTTGTTGGGAGGTGAAAACTGGAGCCTCCGAGCCCAATTAGGAGGTTATTTCAGTGATCCAAGCAAGAGAAGATGAGAATCTGAACTTGGAGAAATGGTGTTGGAGAAAATGGGACAGATTCAAGAGATAGAAGGGATCAACGCAGCGAGAGGTCGTGACCAGCTGGACATGGTAAATATTAAGGTGGGTAGTGCTTAGCATAGCTCCCAGGGAAAGCGAGCGGGCGAATATGTATGTGTACCACTAGCCCGAACAGGATTACTGAAAAAGGGGGAGATGGAGCAGAGGGAGAGAAAGGCCAGGGCTGAAACGTTGAGGGGCGAGAGGGTGTAACAGAGAAAACCAGCTCTGGGGTCTGTTGCAAGTAGCGACGCCATCCTTTTTCGCTAGGAAGCAAATTTCCTTCTCTGGGCCCCTAGATCCTCATCTATCGCATGACCCACTTGGGGAATTTCTATGAAGACTAAATATTTATGCACGTGAAACTGTCGGAATAAACTAGACGCTCAATAAACGGTCGCTGATGCTGTCCCTGCGGCCTGGCAGGTGGGGTCCGGCTCGCAGGAGAAAGCGGGGTTCGGGAGGGCGAACGAGCCGGGGCTCCCGCTCCCGGCGACCCTCCGGGCGTCAGCGGAAGGACCGGATCCTTAGGGATGGGGCTCCTCCCGCGCGGCGCCCGCCCCTTCCCTTCGGGGTTACCTGCAGATAATCCGCTCGGTTTAAATTCAGATCCATGACGGCGGCACGGACGCGCCGGGCAGCGCCGGGCCGGGACAGTAGGGACAGGGGAAACAGGGGGGACAGGGGCTACGGGACCCGGGGCTTCTGAGGGGAAATGGCCCGCGGCCGGGGCGCGCTCACTCAGGGGCGACCCCAGCTGCAGCGGCGTCGGCGGGGATGCAGCCGCGGGCGTCAGGGCAGCGGCGTCCGGCGTGACGTCAGTACGCTCACGGGAGTGGGCGCGGACGAAAGCGAGGCCCCGCCCACTGGTTAAACCTGCTCCAATCGGAGGCGGAGAGGGACTGAGGACGCGGTCCACGGGACCCGAGGAGGGTGGTTTCCAGGGAGACCGGGGACGCAGCCTTGGCTCCACCCCTGCCGCCGAAACTTCCGAAAACATCATTTGTTAATATCACCACAGATTTCATCAGAAAAGATTTGAAATACTAGAAAGCTGTCAACCTCAGATGGTGCAAATTTTGCAAAACTATAATTTGTGCCTAAAGGCTCAGATTTTAAGCACTGGCAACAAATGTCAATTGTTTTCTTTGAAATGACAAGTTCCCTGCTTGAATTCTCAAGAAAGCTCATGACAAATATCTAAGTCTGAATAATCATAATTTTTCAGTTGTGCTTTCAAAAACAAAGTGTTCCACAAGAAAAGCAACAAGTTCAGCTAGCAACTCAAAATACTAATCACAGAAGTGCTCTTCCTTGAGACAATTAATGTGCGATGCTATTTAGTAGAAATGTTTTATGCCTACTTCCCATATCATATGGAATATTTTAAAAGATAAGTACTCAAGAATAAGACTTAAAATAATTTTTGCTGCTTCATAATGAACATTTTTAAGTGAAATTGTTTCCTGCCAATGTGGGCATGAAGACTATAGTAACTACTTACTCCATACGGTTTGAAGCCATTGCTTTGAGTGATGATTAAGTACTAGCAGCATTAACCACCATGGTTTTTGTATCATCCGGGCGAATGTCAGCACAGTGAAAAAGACGAATAACATCTTAGTGCTATGAGAATACCTAATAGTAAAAGACTCCCCGAAAAGGCCTCAGGGACCCTCAGACTACTGCTGTACTATGGTCATCCAGGATCTGACCAAGATCTGACGTTCCTTGATTCATGTCCATTGGTCCTTCCTTAGTGCACACAGAGCTCTGCCTACAGAAATAGTACAGATTAATGATACTGTCCCTTTCCTGATTTCTGTGGCTTCTTAGGGAAAAGTTCACAAATGATTGTGAATCAAGAATTAAAGCCCTGAGAAGAGGTGCTTTTTAGGAAAACAAATTCTTTCCTACAGAGGGATTTGAGGTTTTATGCGGGTTCCAGGGTGTTCCAGACAAGTCTTTTTCTGAGGCTAAAATAACTCTATTAAAATAGACAATAATGCCTTGAGATAGGTTAGCTGTGTAACAATTGTGAGAAAATATCTATTAACTTAGACTCGAAAAAATACAGATAAATTTTAGAAGTAAACTGAAAAACAGCTATCATGGAGATAGGATAAAATGTGATTACATAGAATTTTATAGAATTTAGGGCTTGGAAGGTGTATTGATAGATAGGGCCACCACAACAAAGTACCACAAACTGGATGGCTTAAACAACAGATTTATTTTCTTACAGGATCTCACGGGCTAGGGTACAAGATCGAGGTGTGAGCAGGGAACCAAAGCAATTTTCTGAGGCATCTCTTCCTGGCCGTCTTCTCCCTGTGTCCTCACAGGATCTTCCCTCTGTGTCTGCGTCCTAATCTCCTCTTCTAAGGACACCTGTCACATAGGATTAAGGCCCAACCTAATGACCTCCTTTTAATTTAATTATCTCTTTAAAGGTGCTATCTCCAAATATAGCCACATCCTGAGGTACTGGGGGTTAGGACTTCAACATGCGAATTTAGGGGGGACACAATTCAGCCCATAACAGAAAGGAACCTGTCCGATCAATGGTGCATGCTACAGTGGTGGGAAGCGTGGACTTTTAAAAAAAATGCTGTCATCTTTATCTTTACTCAAGATTCCAAGGCTCAGAGGCTGAATGTCCCCAGCTGAATCTGACACTTTCACAGTTAACATTTTTCTAACCCCAATTTGGAATATTGCTAAATATTCCATTCCATATCTACGAACAAAAAACCTCCACATTTGGAATCCTAGACAATCCTGTAAGACTGAAAGTATTGTCTATTATGGAAACTCCTTATCTTTGCTGTTTTAATATAGTAGAGTAACATATGACAATGAAAAAATTCAATATTTTATTCAGTTCTGAGGCATAACATAACATACATACAATCTGAAAAACGTTTAAGACAAAGTACTATTAGAGAACAGCACGGAAGTTAATGAAATCGTCTACGATGGTAGCAAAAATGTACAAAGTTTTTTCTTAATTTTTTCAGTCTCCAAAAGTAGAAATTAAGAAATCTTTAGAGAGCTTTATGTGGTTCCATTTAATGTTCATTTTTGTCTTCAGGTCTATAAAGCCTTGCTTTGTGAGAATAATGATTTTTCATGTACTTAATTGGTGTTTAGTACCTATGAAACTATCTTTGAGGTGTGATCACAATTCATATTCTTATAAGACTTGACAGGAACAGACTGAAGAGAATCAGATGTGAAGCATAATTCTGAGACATTTAAACCAACCTGGTTAAAAAAAAATACTTTGAGTGTTTTACGGTCTGTGAAGACGAGGGAACTTACTGGCCTGTACCCCCTTTCCTATCAAAGTCATGAGTTGTTGTGGAGATTTACCGGTATTCAGCTCAGTTATATAATAAGTCAGATACATCACCATCTATTTTGTGTAGAAAGTATCACCGAATGCTTTTATACGAAAAAGGATGTCAATCATTGTAAGCAATGATGGCAAAAGAGGCCTCAACGGGAAATAAAGCACACCTGATACCCGACACACCTTTCCAGGTTCACGGCCACTGCTCTTCCTGATTTTTTTCCCCATAAACATCCCCTCCAAAACTCAGAATGGAGTGAATGGGCAAGACAGGAAGACAGTTATGGACATCTGACTTAGCATTAAAGCATCAGAAGCAGAAATTAGTACCAAAATAACATGTAACTCCCAGCCTTAAAACATTCACCACCCCACTGACTAAATTCACATGACTGAAAAACAGTAAATGAAAATCTAAGACAGCAAGCAAACAGTACATACTTAAAAAAAAAAAAATCTTTAATGTGTTACTTTGAACAATTCTATGAAACTTAAATATGTAATGTAATGATATTTTCTATTAACCCATTTCATTGTTAAATTCTTTCTTCGGGGTCAAAGGTTCTAGGATTATCAGTGATGCCAAAATGTCTAAGAAAATATGACCAAGTCCTAGCTGCTTGTAAAATGTTTTTAGTTTCTATTTTTAAAAACGATCCCTTCGGCACTTGGACAAGAGAAGGTGTGCTAGATAGTGATGTCCTTTTTATTTGCTTTTGTGTTTTGTTGGCAGTTGGTTTCAACAACATTTACTGAGCACCTACTATGTACCAGGCACTGTACTAGATGCTAGAGACACAAAGATGAAGAAGACATGGTCCCTGTCCCCCAGGAGCTTACAGTCTCTTGGAGGCAAACAGGTAGTGCAAAGATGTAGTTGGATTTTTTTCTAAAATGGACAAAAGTATCAGTCACGTAGTCATACTAGGCCTTTAAATGCAATGGCGTGTCACCCGTTTGTAATGTCGAGGCCTTACAAACGGGCAATGAAAACGAAGACCATTCGCACGTGATAAAACGGTAAAACCATTCAAACCTAACTTTTAAAGATTCACATGATAGAGGCAGTTAATACTTAAAATGTACACCACAGTTTTTCAAGTATTTCATACTTAGAAATATTATTGCCCACATTTGTGCTGTAGTCAAAGCCGCATTCCAGGTCACCGAGTCATTCACACCTCAGCCACTGGGGTGCAGCTTCTCACTGAGTTTATGAATTAGAATGGCTAACTCCTCAGTTGCTTGACTCTTGTCCTCCAGAAGTTCATAACGGAGGCTGGAGATATCTTGCTTGATTTCTTTTAATTCACCTGTAGTATTAAAAACAAAAACAAAAACATAATCGATAATTTGCTCTTTGGATTTAGAAAAGAACAGAGAGTAAAATTTTTATGCTATGACTATATTTAGCTCCTAAGGTCTCCAAGGTAATTATTTTAGATTTTTTTTTTTTTTATTTATTTAAAATGTTTAAGAAATGTCAGGCTTTAAAAATACACTGACCTTTGAAAAAAGCTATAAAAACAGTCCCTCTGTGTTTTTAATAGTAAAACTCAGCTGCAGTGTTGTGCTGGGGCTCGGCCAACTTTTAGCACAGGGCGACTTGGCCGTTACCTGACTTCCAGCCAGGGGACCTCGTTTCTGTGTCCCGGGAGCCCCCAGGGTCCCGCAGCCTTAAGGGTTACGGTACAACCGATCAGATTTCCGCTTTCTAAACGATGGCCCCATTCCAATCCTGTCTCCCTGAGACTGTTTCTAGGACACCGTGATTGGATTTTGCTGGTGCTCATTCATACTTTCATGGATTTCTTTCCTGCGTACACATGTCATTGGATTGACTCCAATTTGCAAGGGATTCCTTGCATTAACCAGGTAATGGCTTCGAAGCTCATGAACAGTTTGACTTGATTTAGCCCTTTTTTCTCTTATCAGTGCAGCTAAATCTCTTATCTAGTGGCATCTCATTGGTGGGGAAAGCTACAGTTTCCATTTTTCGTGCAACTTATTTCTCCAGGTTGACTTCCTTTCAACTCTGGGCTGCTGTTAGGGCCTACGCCCCGGCCTTTGATGAATAGTTTTTTATAGTTCACACAGATGCCCTGCCTAGGATACACCTGGAAAAATAGACACGTGTAAGTAAAGAGCCAAAAAGATAAGAGAAAGGCAAAAGACAAACACAGCCGAGAACAATGGGTTAAAGCTTTCTTTCTGGACAAAAATGTAAAGATTCTTCTGAAGAAATGTGGATTCTGTCTGAGCCAACCATTATTTTACCTGCGCCATTGGAAAAATGTTACCACTCACAGGAACTCACTGAAACTACCTATGGAACAGGGATTTGAAACTCCCCGAGAGACGGCAGTCTCTGCATTCTGAGAATCAGGGCATTCTGAGTAGAGATAAATGGTTTCGGGTTGATATTGTTAATAACTATTTCTTTAAAAAGATAGCATTTCAGAAATGCGACATAAGATTCTCCTGTCGATCTCAGAAGGATCCAAACTGTTACCTTAGACGGGACTTTTAAAGTGACTGTCAACATGAAGTTTTCCATGTTTATTATTACATTTATTATTATTATTATGTTAGACGTCAAAGGATGTCTCTCACATGGGAGAGGCTCACCTTCATTCACTTCATCATTCTCTTTGTCTACTTGTGCTTTCAAGACGTATCGCTTTATTAGTCTTTTCATTATCTGCTGTCGGGCGAAAAGAAATGATTACGTCACCGACGATACATACAAGTAACCGAGATCCTAGTCTCCAAAGAGCCTTACTTACCTGCAAAGCAAGCGACTCAGGGAAGAGAGATTTTATATAACTATTTATAGAAGAATCACCCAAGTTTCAGAATTTAACTGTTTCTCACCTCCTGAGACTTACTGTATGATTCACAGACATGTCCCCACCCCACCCCCAGGAATGGAAGCCAGTAGCTTTTTAAAAAAGTTATATTGGAGGGTTTCAATTCATGGTTTCTCTTTAAACTAATGACTTCTCTTTAAAGTGTACTGACATTACATTATCATCTACAGACACTACCTTATCTCTCACTGTTATTAAAAAAAAATTAAATATCTGCTCAGTATAGAGAAAAAAATACAAAAAAGAACAAAAAATTTAAACAAAATCATAGATTATCCACCTTCCAAAGATAATCACTCTTGCTATTTTGGTGGCTGTCTGTCCTTCCAATACCCTATCTTTAAATTTCGTATATGTACTAATTACTATGTTTTGTATTTTATGTTTTCTAAATACTATGTATATTGTTATATTGTATGCTTTCCTATTATAACAATATATATTGCGAATATATTTCAATCTAAATAAATGCTCTTGCGGGATAATTGTTAGCCATGTGGAAAAAATTACATTGGAGCCCTACTTCATAATGTGCACACAAAAATGAGTTCCATGTGCATCTTAAATGTGAAAGACAAAGCTTTTAAATCCTCCAAAAGAAAGTACAGCAGAATATATTTATTCAGTGTAGAGCTGGATGGTTTTTAAACAAGATAAAAAATTCTAATTACGATAGAAAATGTTGGCAAATTCAACCTCATTACAATTAAAATTTCTCTTTATAAAGATAACATTAAAAAAGTGGAAAGGCAAGCCACAAACTGGAAGGAAATATTGGCTTCTGGGAGGAGAAGGGGCCATGTTGAATTGGGGATCTGGAGCCCCCCACCCCCACTCTGAGGAAGCGCTCTGCAGGCCAGAGGGTGACTTGGGTAGAGCGATGGAAGGATCAGATGTGTCTTCTACACCTCGGGTCTCCGACCAGATGTGCTGGCATGAGGATAAGTAGACCACTCCGAGAAACAATCTGACATCATCTTTTAGAGTTGAATATCTGCATAGCCTTCCAGAAAGGCCGTTGTTGGTATAGAGCCTAGAGAAACTGCCCCCATTTGGACCAAGAGACATAAACGACAGCGCTTTGTGCGAAACAGCAAAGCAACCACTAACAATCTAAACAAATATCAACAGGAGAACGGACAAATAGATCACGGTATGTCACACAACACAATGTCATCGTGTTCTCTAATGCAATTAATGGACCACAGCCACACAACCGTGTAGACGAATCTTAGAAGCACAACTGTTGAATGAACAATTCAAGTTGCAGACATCACAAAGTGTGAAACTATTCTTACGAAGTTCAACAACAATTGGATCTATAGAATGCATTTTTAGGATTATCTATACACGCAATCAGCCTATATTCAAAAGAAGTCCAAAGCGAGAGGACGAGAAACCCAAACTTCAAGGTAGAACTACCTCTCAGGTAGTGGCAAGGGTGCGGGCTAGGGAGGAGCACCTGTGTAGAAGCCATAATGTTATCCTTCTCAGGAGGTGGCTTCAAGGTGTGTGTGCAAGTAATTATCCTTCATAATTTATTATGTGTTACACATATTCTTGTGCCTATATGAAGTATCACATTCAAAGATAATAAAGGAAAGAAAAAAAAAGACCTGAACTCAAATGCGGATATGGTACTCCCCACTTATCCATGGGGTGCATGTTCCAAGAATGATTCAAAGTATCTGTCTCAGAGAATAATGACATGACAGATCAAGAGGGGGCTCATGCTATCGAAAAGGAAAATCTCATCCAACTAGTGACAGTAAAATAGAAAACCTGTTGATGTCTGAGGAATGCAGATCCCAGGACAGACTCACAGCTTGGTGGATATTAGCCTGGACTCATTCATTCATTTGCCAAATATTTCTTGAAAGCCAACTCTATGACAGGCAGTGAATTAGGTACTGGGGATGCAATGATGGACACAGTTCCTAATCCAGTGAGACTTCATTGGAACAATTCACTATGACAGGTGAACATATCAGGGACATAATTAAGTTTAGGGGACAGAGAAGGCAGATTCCTATAGAAAGAAAATACAAAGGAATGTCTATCAGTTAAAAGTAGCTTGAAGAATAGACTATTCAGCAAATAGTGCTTATCAGAAAGTTAAAATTACATATCTACCTCACACCATATACAAAGGAAAAAAAGAGCCAAATGGACAAGACTAAAGGTGACAGGTAAAAACTTTCGAATAGGGAAATAGCTCTTGAAAAGGCTAACAGAAAAGCTAACCCGTAAAAAAAGACTGATAAATTTAACTATATTAAGACAATTGAAAACTTTTATCCATGAAAAAAAAAAAAACCAATGCAATGCAACCTTATGTCAAATGGGATTTTCCCATTGTCCTGGAATTGTCGATGACCCAAAACCGAAGGTGACAAAGGAGGCTAAGTATGCCACGGTCTGAGTCCAAGCTGCCACTAGCAGTTGGGGCCAGCCGCCTCCCCCAGGGCTTAGTGACAATCACCAGACCGGAAATGAACTCACCACTCATTTCCTCCTCATCACCCTCATATGGAAAATGCCATGGGCGGGATCATGAGCTTTTGGGGTGCCCCCTCCCCGAAGCTAAGGGAAGGGGGAAATCCAAGGCAAGTGGTCATAAAGATTAGGGTTGTCTAAATGAAAGGGAGCCTGGCATCTTGCTCCCAAATAAACGTCTATTCAGCAGACTTGCTGACCTGCTCCTGCCAATTAAGTCGGGGAGGAAAAAAAACTGAGATGAGAAAGGAGCGGCCATTGGCCCAACCTGTGCGCTTATTATTTGACCAGCATAAACGGCCACTGTGTTGGGTAGAAGGCAGTCACACGCAACAGCGGGGAAGGACAGTCTGCTCGGGAGACAGGACTGGGACACTGGGCTATCGTTATGGAGAGGGCGACAATGAGATCCACACCTCACGTCAGAGCCCGATCTCCAGGTCAGGGAGCTGTGCGAAGGAGAAGCAGCCCGCACAACCCAGGCTGAAGGCGAAGGGCTGACTGCCCGTGCTGTCTTCTCGGAGTTTGATGGGTTCAGGTTTAACCTTCACGTCTCATCCAGTCTGAATTTACTTCTGGAAATGGTGTGAGACAGTGGTCCAGTTCCATTCTCTTGCATGTCCATGTCCAGTTTTCGTACCACCATTTATTGAAGACACTGGCTTTTCTCCCACTGAATAGTCTCGCCTCCTTTGTCATAGATTAATAAGCGCGGGTTTATTTCTGGGCTCTCTATTCTGTTCCATTGATCTCTGTCTCTGTTTTCATGCCAGTACCATGCTGGTTTGATTACTATAGCTTTGTAGTATAGTTTGAAATCAGGGAGTATGATACCTCCAGCTTTGTTCTTTCTCAAGATTGCTTTGACTATTCAGGGTTTTTTTTTTTGCTTTGTTTTTTTTTTGGTGTTTCACATACATTTTAATACCCTCTATAATTTTTTTGTGTGTGTGTAGAAGCTGGTCAATCAGTCCTCAATTATTCTTCAGGAGGAATTGCTCAATATGTAGGTTCATATTCGGTGTGTCCGTGGGAAAAATTGAGTTCAGGGTCTCCCTACACTGCCATCTTAACCCCCCTATGTACTTTTAACTTGAACTAATACAGATATTCATGAGCAGAATTCAACCAGAGCCATCTCTCCAAGTCTTTATGTTCTCCAGAAAAATTATCTCCAGGTTTTCAAAAAGTTCTTTACACACTCAAAATGATACCTCAGAATGCTATTAATAATTAATGTTAAAATATAAATAACACTGGCGTTGACCAACACATTTTTGGAACTCTTCCTTGCTTTGGAGAGGAAATACTCAATTGAATGTAAAACAGTAAGATGATGGATGATCTGATTTGTCGTGGCCACATTTTTTTTTTTTTGAAGGTGAATGTGACTCGTTTTGAAAATATGTTATGTCATATGTCACTGAGTCTTGTTAATAAGGTGAGCAATTCGCCAAGTCATGAGAAAATAATAAAGTATTTTCGGTGTCTTATAAACTAATCATAAAAATGATTCTTTAGAGATATTCCCAGAGTGCTGAGCTGTGGTAGCACCATGAGAATCAGTGTACCCCAAGGTCACGGCTGTGAAGGAAACGTCCCCATCTGGCAGATTAAGATCTGGAATTTTTTTAAGGTAAGTCTTAAATTATAATCACACTGCCTAAGACAAAAATCCATGACAACTAAACCAACTGTTGTTATCGCTCATGGAGCTTTTAGATAAAGAAATTTTATCTATTTAGATAAAGACATTTTATCTAAATAGAATCGAGACATTTATATCTAGTTCGATTGGCGTGGGCTTAGCTTTTCCCTCAGAGAGTCTCTTATGCTCCCTATCACTTTCGGGGAGGCACAGATGATTACACCACAGGTACAGGAAATTCTTCTCATTCGAAAAATATGAAATGTATAGGAGTCTGGAGGGGAGTTTAGCAGGGATCATCTCATGTGGTAGCCTAATAATTTTCAGCCATAGGAAGTTTGAACTTGACAGTGAATCTAGGCATTTCTCCACTTCTTCTAAATCACTCGAAAGCAACAAAGAGAATAAGAAATAGAAAAAAACAAACTCCTCCTATAATGAAACTTAGAGGTATCCACACTCCCTTTTTTTCATATGAAAAGGTCACTAAATGTAAAAAGATGGTCAAGTTCATTCATGATAAAGAATGGGAAGTAAAACTACACTGTGACAGCATTTTTACCCATCCGGTCAAAATAAAAATCTCTGGTAACATACTGTTGGAAAATTAAGGAGGAAATGGGCACTCTCATACATTCATTTTAAGAATGGAAATTGGCACACATGCCATCAAAATCAGTTTGATAACAAAAAAATAGCATACACATATGCTTTAACCGGACACTGCATAGATTTGCACATGTTTCAAATGTCATATATACGAGGTTACTTACTACAGTATGGCTTGTAAGAGCTAAATCCTGGCAATGTTCTCTATTTCCAGCAACAGAAAACTGATCGATTAAGTATAACCATACGATGGAATACAATAGAATCATTAAAAAGTAAGGCTTTGGCAATCAGCGTGGCAAGCAGTTCTGCAGAATTTGCTGCCTCCAAGAAAATTGTATGAAGAGGACTATGGACATTTGTTGTCATCACCACACATTACAAATTCCTGACCCTCATTCTCGGGATCCTGTACATACCAGAGATCTAAAGATTTGATCATCGGAAATGATCAGATAGATGTAAAATAAAGGACTTCGGAGTTGGGGGATAGTGTTCGAATGTCACATCCAATATCAAAATGCAAAAGCTATTTGAAAGTAGGACTGAGGAAACGGCATAGTCTAAGAATCCATTCGGAAGATGGACCGCCTGAAAGAAAAGCCTGGAGAAGTGTGTCAGCGTTATTTTCCAAGTAGACCACTTCTCTGAGCGCTTTCTCCAGCCCAAGGGACACCGGAAGTGTCCTCTGGCAACTGTGGCAAGCCTCCACTCAATATCGCAAAGGAACTCTTCTTCCTCGAACAAAAAAAAAAAAAAAAAGAAAGAAAGAAAGAAAGAAAAAAGAAGGAAAAACCCGGACTCTGATTTCTAAAATGCCCACCAAGTAACATACCATTTTCTCTGTTCTATCCTCATAGTACATCTGAAGAATCTAATTCTACTCACTAATTTCTCTCTCTCTCTCTCTCTCTCTCTCTTTTTCTCTCTCTCTCTCACACACACACAGACATATATGGAATTACAAACAAAGAGATATGTCTAATGAATGCTTACCTGATAACGTGTTGGCTGATTGAGAATGCTGTTAAAACTGTGTGATTCAAAAACTCTTGAGTTAGACTGAGTGAAGAGGTTTAACTAGGAAAAAATACAATTAACCTAGTAAATCAGAATACATTCATTGGGAAATCAAAAGCATAATCTACTTTATCCTCCTTAATAACCCTTCTGGAGTCCACATTTCCAAGGAACATGTTGTGGGTGTCGAGTGTCGTAAGTGATTTCATTTCCAAAGGTAAAAGTTAACGTGAGCAAAAAGGTCACTCACGTCTGTCAACGCGATAGCAGGGTGAACTGTCATTGAACCGCTTAGCTGAAAACACATTTTATTTATTTTTTTCTGAAAAAATATTTTTAAAAGTCGGCTCGTGCTAAACGCGATTGCTCCTGGGGACCTTGCATACTTTGTCAAAACCGATTCCTGGCGCCTAGAAGGTGAAGCTGCAGAGAAGCGGCTCTCCCGGAGCCTACATTCCTCTCCTGCATTTGAACAGAATCATCCTCAAGTTGGGCTGGTATCACTTAGAATTTTGGAACCCTAAAATGTTTGCCCAAATAACACATCTTCCCAGGGATCTGGGCCTTCTACTGAGCCAGTTCCGCGACTTTAGAGAGAACCCGGCTAAAGATTTTTGCTTTGCTTTGCTTTTCTCTCTCTCTTTTTAAGGTTTAACTTGGGGCAGGTAGGAAAGGAAGCCAGAGGCGCACACGCAGAGCGAGCGGGGCCTGCCTCTTGTTCAGGGGCAAGCCGCCTCCTGAGCGGTGGGGTGCAAAGGCAGGGCCCCGGACCCAAACATCTGCATCCCCCCTGCCCCCCGCAACCCCACCCGGTCATGACTCCGGCAGCTGTGGGTGCTGGGCAGGAGGAAGTGGGCGCGCCAGCTCTGCCCTCGAGAGGGTGCCGGGAGGCCTGGGCGCCACTGGGGGTCAGTATCTGACCACAGACTGAGCCCAAAACACTGCTGGAGGCTCCACCCCTCCTTCGGAGAAAGAAAAGCAGAAACGTATAATTTCTCCAAAAAAAAAATTTTTTTGTAATAAATCCAGCACATATAGTATCTAGGTATATGAATAAGATTAAAGAGATTTAAACAGCTCTGCATGCAGTTTAAAAAATAAAGAATAAAATCGAAATGGCAGTTTTTAACCAGATATTCGCTACAGGGGAGCCAGGGGGCGGGGCTCCCGAAGGATCCGCGCGCGGGTGCCGCGGAGGGTCTGGGCGCCGGGTGCCCCTGAACGCCTGCCCTCTTTGCGACCTGACGGTTGGCACTCCCCTTCCACCTTATGACAACACCGGGAATGAAGTCAGGGACGTCGGCCCGAAAGGTAACTTTAAGGTGCAACGGGCAAGAGCTGTTCGTTTCCACGCTCGAGAGGCTTCCTTTCCAAACAATAAAGCTCCAGTTACTAACTCCGCAGAGAAACAAAGTCAGTTTCAGCAGTAGCAGGAGTCGCCCAAGGGGACAATTAGAGTCTGGCCTCCTTAGGAGACCAGCCACCCTGCTGCTGAAGGTGCGGCCCGTGGGGAGGAAGCTGGGCGGTAACCAAGCCCTGGCGCCTCCAGGGGCAGGAGAAAGAGCTGGTTTTCTGACAGAACCCGAAGCCGCACCAACCCCTCCTTAAAGAATAGGATGCCAGGGTGTTACACATTTTGGAAAGGCACATCTATTTTAAAAAGTGAGAAATTTAAATTGTACTAATCCAGCCCTTTCCCCAACTTCGACGGAGAAAAAACATCCACCTCTCCGCTCAGGACGGCCTGTACTTTGTAGAGATGACCTTGCCATCTCGTGGCTCCCAGCGCATACAGGCCATTTTCGCAACTTCAGGCAAAAGTTCTATTTAACCCCACACATTTGCTCCTGTCTGCCTCGATCCCTATCATTTGCGGTTCTGCTCATGTCCTTCTGTCTCCGATACCAATTCTATCTCTGAAAATTAAGTTCCTGATAATAAAGTGCTATCATCGCACTCATCTCTGCCTGCCGATGAATTGGACTCAACTAGGACAACTTGAGGACAAACCACTCTTGATTACTTATAAAAGGGGTATTTATGGTTAATATTGGAGGACATTCTTAGGCCTGTATCGACTATATAATATTGAAGGAAAAAAGACTATTTGGCCCAATAAAGGGTTTCTGCAAATAAGAAGAATTCGGTGGTCGTGAACTATACATACAACTAAGAGGAAAATGTGAGGTCATAACTATTTAACTTTAGAAAAACAGTTGAGAAGCATGGAGCGCAAATACCAAAGTGTTTTCTTACAAAAACTGTTCTTCTTTTAACAAGTTAAAGAAGTTTTTTGTTTGTTTTTAATCTGGTAGTTTACGTGAAATTATGACCAAAAGCAAGGCACAGACTAAGTGACATCCTGAAACGTGATGAAGATAGGATTAGACTATGAAAGACCATGGAGTGGACGGTAACTTTCAACATCTTCTAAGTTCACCCATAAAAATTATCGAACAGACGTCGAAAGACAAGGGGAGAGACAGACACGCATCCCGAGGCTGCGGGCAGTTTCCGATACTCACCCTGGACTTCGAGTTCCCCATGCCCATTTCAATGTCCTTCTGCAGCCTTCTCCGTCTGCATTTGGAAAAGTTAATGATCCGCATGATGAAATACACAAATGACTTTGGACTGGGAACGAGGCTGAAGGGTGGAGGTAATGTTTTCCCATCATCAAAATAAGATAACCAAAGTTTCGAACGCGCAAACTTCCATTCGACGTCACTGTCATCCTGTGTCACAAAATAGAAAAGCAGGAACAACTCATTTTAAAAACTAAATATTCCAGTAAATGATTCCAGTAGGGTTTTACGAGCCTGAATTATGCTTTTGACATAGATAAGTGACTTATACACATTTATCTGCATCAAATCTATTGGTCTATGTAATGTTCTGAGCATCGTTTTTTCAGAAATTTTTCTCTTCCATATGCTTCTGTCAGTACCTGCTGAAATTTAACAAGAATTTCCAGTCCGCCATCCAAAAACAAAGAAAAACACAAAAAAAATTCAGGGTCTAGGAAGGATGAAAAGATGAATTCCTCCCTCTCCAACCCACCGAGTCTGCAGACCCAACAACAGCTCCCCACTCTCTCTCCGCCCTCCCTCCTCATCTAGACCCATCCAAGCCAAGGGCGCAGGGAGGAAAACGGTACTTAGGTCAACCGCACTTTGGAGTTTTTGTGTCTGACATATGTCCTCAAAGGCCACAAAAGGCCCCCAGTGGCTTATTCCTGTCTTAAATCTCCTTTTATCCTCGGTGCCACTCCATGGTGATGGGTGTGACCATCCTACGCGGGAGAAAGGCTGGAGAGGAGAAATAAATGAAGAGGAGGGGGCCCGCAGGCAGAGGAAGTTGGCTCACTCACGTCACGTTCCCCAGACTGCCACTGTCACACCCGAGCAGGTGTGCAGAACATCGCACTGTTCATTTCTGGAGGACCTCACTTCCGCTTTGAGAACGCCGCCTTACGCGTTTCTAAAACAGACACGGAGACTCAGTGGACTTAACACACAGCAAAGCACTGAAAAGATACTGAACACCAATCCGGAGGACATAAGGACACAGAATCACACCGACGAAAGAAGGCTCCGAACCAGCCCGGTGCAAAACAAAGTGATTTCCAGGATACGACAAATTCTGACGGGTTTGAAGAACATCATCGATGTTTGCCAGACGCCTAGGAATTTTTCAACCGGGGCCTTTCAGATGGTCAGCTGGCTGATCTGGCAGTGAATAAGACCCCTACGGCCAATGCTTCTTCTAGCCACTGATGTCAAAACTTCTGAAATACACCCTGAGAGAAGGCAGAGTGACGGTAAATTCTTACTGCGCTCCTAGAAGCCCCTGGGAGGTGTATGCCGACCTATCCAGACGGAAAACCCAGAGAAAGGCCCAGGGCCTCCCTGCCTGGTGTTAAGTATCATAAATTCTGGTT